TGAATCGTGATTAATGAGTTTTTTCCCCATAATGAGCCAGCCTCAGTCTATATGTAATAAAAAGTTTAATTTGATCTCAACTATTAAAAAAGGCTTTTATTGGTGCCGTTTAAACCACCCAATAAAGCTTCTTTTAGTCTCTTCCCTGCTCGCTGTTCTTTCTCTGCTGACCTGTGTCTGTTCGGTTGGGCGTGCAGATGGGACACCAGATCGTGTGCTCAGATTTATGCTCAGGATGGACCGCCAGTTCTGCGAGGGGAGGAGCGCGCTTACATCCTCAACCATGGGTGAAACAGATAAAGAAGGCCGGGCTGCCAACGTGCTGCCTCATTCCAGAATCCATCCCAGGTACACGAACGCATGCTAACGAGGATAACAGACACTGGTGTCTTCGTCAAACTCTAAGCAACTCTTAACAACCAACGGTCCTGCTTACAGAGATGCCTCCTGAGCGACCTCGCCCTGCACTTCCTCAACAAAAATGAAATCATGGTGGTGAAGGACGATCCGGAAGACGAGGCATCGGAGTTCATCTGCAAGGCCGGTGAGCGTCATTAAAATGCGCACTTGAAACCTCAGGTACCTGAGAACTGGAGTAAGTTTGGTTTTGATAATCATCCTCATTGCTTCTGGATTATCTCATGAGGAAAAACAAAACTTCAGGGGAAGGGGGAGCTGCTTAGTGAATTTCTGCCCTAATTAATGTTCAATTATTTGGTTTCTAACATGCTTATTAAAAACTTAAATTTAGGCAGGTGGACATTTGGTGCTCTTAAGAAAGATATTTGGTCTTCGGATGACCTTTACGTATTTTCTCTGTACTGTTTCGATTCTTAAACTCTACTGAATGTATATTTACAAACGCCTCAAATTTCCTACATATAAGAGAGAGAGTAGTGTGGTAAGATGTGTTTTGAGGTGATCCATTTAATCCCATTTAAGGGGTAAAACCAAACTCTCCCCTCCAACTATTGGAACAAAAGCCCATGCGCGCCACGTCGACATTCACTGCCAGAGATCTCGGGCACGTGCAGGAGCTGGGCGTGGAGGACGGCAACCTGGTTTGATGGGCTCTGCAGCGGGCGTTTAAGGTACGGAGTTCGTATGAACCGGGAATTAGAAAAAACGCTCCGGCGCTCGTGACGGGTTGAATGTCGCCGGACCACCTGTGGCGTTACGCTTCCAGTAAACATTGTGTGTACGCTGCTGCGCAGATCACGGCTTGCCACCAGCCCCGGGCAAGACGGTGTGCATCGTTGGTTCGGGGCTCCAACAAGCTGCGTTGCATTTGAGTAGCAGAGCGCTCCATCTCAGCGATGCGCTGTGCTGTCATCCGCCATTTGCCCATGGTCAAGAAGAGGTCGCCGTCATTCCTGCCAGGCGTTTATTTCATCAGACATTTACACAAGGAGTGCCAAGTTACAGGAACAGGTACCTCTGACAAAGCCGCTCTTGCATTGGTTCACTCCTTGCAGGGCCCATAACAATACGGAGGAACAGTACTATGACAAGGCTCGCTGTTTATCACTGCATGGTTGTGCTGAGCGAACTTGGCCTGGGGACCCATTCACACAGAAAATAAACTCAAATGAAAGGAAAATGTTGTTAGCACCTATTTTCCCTCATAAAGCCAGAAAACAACTGTTTATATATTTAATGTAGCGACGTTGCCACATGATTCCCACGGTTTTAGCAAGTTGCTGACTTTAACTTTTGGTACACAATGCTGGACTGACTGCATTTATCATATGTATGTTATATCGACTTCTCTCCTATTCTTCTTTCTCCTCCATTCCCCCCCCTCAGGGCTCTGATCGCCGTGTGGGCGGCCCGCTCCAGAGATCGAAGCTTGCCGTTCGCGGTCTGGGCAGAGTACTCGCGCCACTCTGGGGGCCATGGAGGCGTACTGCGTTCTGTGCTTTTGGCGTACAGTGACGCAACCTGGAGGTGATCCACTCAAGCGCTGGCACTAGGAACGCCGCTGAACCCCATCTCTACTGTGGACGGAGACTTCCGGCAACAAACACGCTGCAGGGAGACAGATGTGCCGCATAAACGTTCGCAAGTGCGCCGTCTGTCCTCCTCTCCCTCGTCGTCCTCCTCCTCCTCCTCCTCCTCCTCCTCCTCCTCCTCCTCCTCCCGCACTGTGTGACATTAAATAGTAATATAGCAATGTCCCACCACACACTTTACCATCTTCTAATCTTGTCTTTATATGTTTTCCTTTGCTGTTTCCTGCTATTGAGACTGATGGTTGACTGTGTCTGTGTGTGACAGGGAGGAATCTCCAACATCCTGGAGGAGCTGGTGGTGCAGCCTTTACTGGTTTCCATCAGCGCACTGACCCTGGCCACAGAGACGGTCCGCAGCATCCTGAAGATCGACGACGTGGTAAGACCAAACATCCCAAACTGTGGTTTTAAATATGTGTAACAGTCTGTGTTTGTGTATTTCTTCATGTTATTGCTGAATCTGAATGTGTTCCATGTTTGTGTTGTTCCAGGTGAACACCCGATAAGAGATTTGAGTCTGTCCAGTGAGGTCTGTCCAGTGAGTTCTGTCCACTAAGCCTGCTCGTACTGCGAGGGATCAGAGGACTCTGTTGACGTCTGTCCATGCAGATTCCCACTGTAGTTGTTACGTTGCGTAATTTAATAAACAAAAGGCTTGTTTTTTTTTTGTTGACACTCCAGCTGTTGCCTGTGTGATTGTTTTGCTCCCTGTTTGATGGTCTTACTGCTGTTTCAGAAGATTATATAAAAACACATGAACACAGATAGTATGGAAGAGGCTGTGTTTTTAAGATCACTGCGTATCTGAAAGTCTCGTACATTTTCCATATAGATTAATTTAGCTTTTAATGGATTTTTTTCTTTTTTGTTATTCTGTGAACTTTAAGGCAATTCACACAGAGAGAGAGAGAGAGAGAGACCAGGAAAGCTTTATTGATATTAAAATATATTAGACAATACAGGGAAACAACATGACTGATAAACTGATCAAATATGCCTCAATCTGAATTTACCAAAAAATAATTGACAATGTTATTCTTTAATATTAATTATTGAATTAGCTTTACAGCTCTGAACAGATAATTCAGCTTTTTAATCAACTAATTTTGGCAGCAAAGGCTTGGATTTAATAAAAATGATTAGAAGTGGGTGGGTTTTTCTTTTGCAACTATAAGAATTTTGTTACACAATAGATTTCCCTGTTTCTTCTTCACTACAGCCCATAAGGTCAGATTTAAAGTCCTCAGTTTGCTTCTGATCTAGATGAGATGGTGTTCCTTGTATTGATCCCTCATAGGGGAAATTCAAATTTACCACAGCAGCACAAGGGAAAGAGTGAAGAAAGAATAAAATACAATAAAAATACATACATTAAGTCTGTGTAACTACATGTTTCAAGGTATTGTGTAAAAAAGAAAGTTGTGCTTTACAGGTTAATAGTAAATAGTTGGTAGTGACAACAAAAAGGAAATATTTCAAACAAAACTGACCACTTTTTTTTATCTCAGTGTAAAGTAGTTACTTGATGGATGTATATCGTTACCTTTTTTATTTTATGTTTAACTTTAAGTGATATATCTATTTGTCAAATTATAATACTTTTAATTTGTAGGGAACCCGCATCTTTTTCACTAACTGCCTTCGCTGCGTCACTTCCTTCCCAACCCAGCTCTTCCGTTGCTAAGGAGCCCACCTGTTGCCTGGAGACAGACAGTTACCAGCACGCACGCGGACTTTTTTTTAAAATCTTAAAATACTAATTTTTATAACATTAATTTCTTATTATTTTTTAATAAAAGAGTTGGAGCAAACAGTGGGAAGACATGGCGAATGCCCACCGGACAAACGTGCTGGTTACTTCGTGTTTAAAAACGCCGGTCGACCCGCACACCAAAGCCCCGTTAGCGTCGTACGAGAGGGAGCGAGTACTACCATATATGGACAACCGGGACTACGAGAAGGAGGTAAACAAAACAAAATAATCACATTTTTTATTGTTTTAAACGCCTTAAAACTTAATGACTGCTGCTTTTACTGGGACAAAATCATCCCTAATTAATTGTAAATAAAAGCCTGGAAACTTAAAATACAAGTTTGTGGTAGCAGGTAAAGAAATACAGCAATATAAATTGTACATTTTAATTAATTTAATCAGTAATTTAAGTATTTCCACAGTAAGGGAATTACTACTTAATGCTAGAGGACAATACATGTTATTAAAACAGTTATGAATTATTATGCCAGCTTTTGGGACAAAAGTAGACTTATCTTAATCTATTAAAGGTAATTTAACTATTTAACTATGTTATCAACTATATTATAACCATCGACATGTATAAGTTAATATATGTTGATGGTTATATAAGCGGTGACTTTGCATCATAAAGATTCTATTAATAGATTATTTGCCACCTATTTTGATAATTTATTAATCGTTTTAAGTCATTTTTTAGAATGAAAAATGTCTAAATTCTCTGATTTCAGCTTCTTAAATGTGAATATTTTCTGGTTTCTTTAGTCCTTTATGACAATAAACTGAATATGGACAAAACAAATCATTATAAGGGCGTCACCTTGGTTCCTTTGGGGAACTGTGATCAATATTTACCCCCATGTTCTGTCATTTTATGGACCAAACAAACTAAACCATAGTTATAATAACAGTTAGTCGCAGCCCTACATAATAATGCTTTCAGATTTAAAGTGTTTTTCCTTCCCTTCCATACTACAAACATAATAACAGAGTTGTAATGTTTTCTGATCATTTAAAATAAAGTAACAGACACACTTTGACCTGCTCTCGTCCAGTTCACAGGCCGCTGACAGTTTCAGGTCAGTCTGGTTGGTTGGAGGGATTTGACCTGTATAAATTGTTGGCCTGACTATTTTTGGACTTCCGTCTTTACTAGATTACCAGACGCCTTTATAATCCAAAACACTTTAATTATCTGTACGACAACAACAACAACAACAACAACAA